AGGCCCCGGCTTAGCAAAGCTTGGAGCCCAACCGGACTCCCTTAGCTTCCAAAGTCTCATGTCTCCCCACCTCGTGCTGTGAATCGGTTTTGCTTTGTTTTGAATTTTTATAAAGATCAGGGCTCAACTGGCTGCCATGGGGTGGACAGGCCTGTGCGGGCACCCTGGCCGCTCAGCTCACACTCCTGGTTCGAGCTGCCGCGATGCGGTGGACCCAGAGGGGTCACCGTGACCCCAGTGCTGTATGTAATGCCGAGGGTGCGCCCCATCGGGCCATCCTCTCAGGGTGCGGCCTCGCTTCTCATCCTGGAGGCATCTTCCGGAACATTCTTTTCTGGACAATGCAGACTGCGTGCACCTCATTCAAGGGGCAGGGTCTGTTTGTCTGGGGCCAGAGCCCCCGCCTCTGATGGGAACCCGGACAGATGGCTCCCAGTGTGCCATCCTCAGCACTCTCACCCCGCTCGCCTGCAGCATGGAGCTAAAAACCCAGCTCTGACCCAGGCAGGTAACTAGATCAGCTGACCTGATTTCCCAGCGGCCTCCCGGGGGCCCCCTCCCCGCCCGGACACCGGGCTGGGGGCCAGAGGAGCCTGGGAAGCCGGTCCTCCCTCAGAGGCCCGCAGGCAGGGAGCGGTGCTGAGCAACCAGGGAAGCCAAAGGAGGCCCCTGTGTGCTCCCCTTATCAGTGCCGACACTACTGCTAGTTAGAAGATACGTAATCCTGCAACATCAGCTGATAAACACCATCCAGGAATCTGCAGACAGGACTCCGAGTCCTCAGCTAAGTATCTGTGTCCCACAAGGGTGAGGAGGCAGGAGGGTGACTAGCCCCACCCCCACCCACACACACATTTCATCACTTTCATCAGTACAATCTGCTCACGCCTCTAATCTGTCTCAGGAAGATGAGGGGGAGAAACTATAAGATAGCAAAATGAACAGCAGCTGCTTTTTCTGATGACGAAGAGTCTGTCCAGGAATGTCTTGTGCCCTCTTGGGGCCCCTAGAGCAGGATTCTACTGTCTCCTTACTTCCTTCTTCTTTTTTTTTTTTTTTAATATATTTTATTGATTTCAGAGAGGAAGGGAGGGGAGGAAAGAGAGAGGAGAGATAGAAACATCAATGATGAAAGGGAATCATTGACCGGCTGCCTCGTGCACACCCCTCACTGGGGATGGAGCCCACCACCAGACATGTGCCCGACCGGGAATCAAACCGTGACCTCCTGGTTCCTGAGCCACACGGGCCAGGCTCCTACTGTTTTCATAAGCACGAGGGACTCCATTTTCTCCAAGTCCCTTTGCTGATCGGAGTAAATGGGCAAGGAATTCGGAACCAGACACGCCTAACCCAAACCTCAGCTCTGCCATTCACCGGCTGTGCGACCTGAGCAAGTTCCTTCACCTCTCTGAGACTCAGTTTCCCCATCTGTAGTACAGCTCTACACGTTTCCCAGAATTTGTGGGGTGAGGGACAGTCATTCAACAAATATTAATCATAGGGCTTTGAGGACTTTCCAGATAATGGACGCATGTTACATATTATTATTGACAAGAATAAAAAGAGGTTTCCTTGCCTGGCCATGGCTCAGTGGTTGAGCATCCATCGATGAACAAGGAATCCCAATTTGATTCCCAGGGTTGCAGGCTCAATCCTGGTGGGGGGCTTGCAGGAAGCAGCCAATCAGTGATTCTCATCATTGATGTTTCTATCTCTCCCTCTCCCTTCCTCTCCGAAATCCATAAAGATTCATCTTTTTTTAAAAGAAGAAAGCATGGGATCCATAATACAGAAGTGTGGCAAGGTCCAGCAGAACAAAAAGAACACTGAAGAGTATTAACACAATTCAGACCCGTTCTGCATGTCTAGCAAAGGATCTCCTTACCTCAGGCAGTGACCCTGAAGCGGAGTGGACCTTATCTGACAGAACTTTGATCTCACAGCATCCATGAATTAGTAGGTTGGTTCATTTCATAGGCTCTGGCCTTCAACTTCTGTGGGTTTCATTAAGGATCACATATTGGACAGCGCCACCTGCTGGCAACACATGACATTACAGTGTAGCGCTCTCAGACATGGTCACTCATCAGAATAAAGGAATCATGCGGTTTCAGTGGCTTTCAATGAGACACTGGTGAAAACCAGGCAAAGTTCCCATAACTTTGAAAAGAAATCAATAAAGAAGTGACCTTGGACTTGTGACAGTAATGGTTGCAGCCAGCCACTGAGGACCCCCATGCAGCCAGCTACCAAGATGCAGGAGCAGAGCCTTCAGTCACGGCAGAGTGCTGGCACCTGACCCAGAGGGACAGGTTCTGCTCCAGCCGCCACCCCCTGTTGGCACAGGCCCGTGGAGGATATAGGCAAAGGTGCCGTCAGGAGCCAGGTGGCTCTGGGCATTAGCCCCTCCTGCCCCTTTCTCATGTTTTGGGGCATCTGGTCACCCTTGTCCTCTGATTTCTCTGTGCCACAGAGATGAAGGGTGTTCTGGGAGATTGGGCCCACCCAGTGCCAGTCAGCCCCTCCCGCTTACCCCAGGAATGCTCCCCCCCCCCAGGGCAGGCCAGCCCCTTCCTGTCCTCCACGCTGTCCTTGCTCCAGTCCCTCGGGGAAGCCGAGTCTGGGTGAGGTCCCCAGGGTGCCCACTCTGCACCCAGGAGGGGAAGGACTAGGGTGAAGAGAGTTGAATTTTTTTTTTAATTATTATTATTTAAAGGGGAAAACCGAAGCCAGTATTTTTAGGTGCCAGTAAGAAGCGGCTTCCTCTACCCGGGGCCTTCCCCGTCGGCTGTGTGGTGGGCGGGCTGGGCTGGTGGGGACAGACACTGACATCTGGTTTCAGTGAGGGTCTGCTTTCCCCACTCAGCCAGCTCCAGAAGGAACTTTCAGGAAATTGGTGGCAATCGGAACCCGGCTCCTCTGGCCTCTGGATTCCATTCCACTCCAGACCACCCAGGCGGCTGGCATGCAGCGAGCGTGAGCTGAGCTCCGTCTGGGAGCTGCATCTGGGAGACACTCCGCAGCAGATGCCTGAAGCCATCTGTCAACCTGTGCGTCTCTGCAAGGAGGGGCTCCAGGCGACCCTGCAGCTGGCCTGTGAGGGGGTCACCCTGTCTCCCAGGGCAGCTGGGAAGGACACCGGGATGGCAGCAAAGGCCCAGAGACAAGCTCTGCCTCCCGCCAGGGGCTCCGGGTTCCGGTGTGGCTGGGGGAGGGGGACTTGCAGATCTACCAAGACCTGAGCATGTGGGCAAAGCAGGCTCAGAGGAGGGGCCCTGCCCAGCTGGGCTGCTGATGGACAGCTCTGGGGACCAATCTTCCTCCACAGCCGCGATCCTGACAGCTGAGCGAGCCCTCGAAGGGGCTGCCAGGTCACTGAGTAGAAGCAGATCCTCCTGGGAATTGCATCCCATCAGCCCCAGAACCCACAGCCGCAGTCCCGCACCCTTGGCCCGCGGCTCTCAGAGGATGGGGCCCAGGCCCAGAGGGGGCTGGGCTGTGTCCATGGCCCGCACCAGGGCTCCCTGGAGAACGTCTGTGGTGCCCCAGGCTGGGCAGTGCCCCCACCAGGCACCCCCGCAGCTCCAGCCAGCCTGCGACCACCTGGTCCTGTCTCTTTCCCCACTGGTGGGACTGGGAGCCACAGACTGGGTCCTCCCCTGTCCTGGGCCCCCATTACTGCCCAGACCAAGCACAGTGCTTGGCGCGTAATAGGTGCTCAATAAATACCAGGGGAGGGGAGGGGTGTGAAGTCAATTGGCACCTCCCCCCCCCACCAGTCCTCCTGTGCCCCCCGCCCAGGACGGCGGCAGCACCGGGGGCCGCCCGGTGGGCAGCTCAGCTCCCTGCTAGACTGTCCTTTCCTGTGCGCCCGGCTCTTCCCCTTGTCTCACAGCCCCTGGGGCACAAGAGATTGCAGTGTCAGAGGGAGGGCCTGGTGAGTGGACACACGTCCCTGTGGTGCCTCCAGCGTGGAGGGAGCCAGGGGGAGGGCCACGCTGATCCCCTCCCCAGGAAGCAGCCCTTACCGGTTACCAGAGGAGGCGAGAGAGCTCAGTGGTAAACCAGGCCGCTCGCCCCCCAGCAAACCAGCAGGACCAGGGTTTGAACCCAGAGCCCGGGATCTGCCCCTCACAGCACGAGGTCCTGCAAAGGCCTCGAGCAGCAGGGACCCGAGTCCTGGGCCCGGATCCTCCCGAGGGCGTGGGAAGTGAGCCGTCCGCCAGGTCTGAGAGCAAATGGCTCTCGGGTCGGAAGGCTCAACGGCAGGGAACAGCGTGGGGATCCCGAGCGATGAACACGGGGAGGCCAGGCCGCGTGGGCGCCGTGTCCTCCTTGGGGACGGGCCAGTCCGGGCGGCCCGCACAGCGGGGTGACACATTTCCACTCGCCCGCTCCATCGGCGGGTCTGACAGGAGCAGAGGGTGGGCAAACAGAGATCCTGTGGTCACCCTCTCTCCTTGGACCTCCCTGCGGCCGGGGAGGGGCCTCCATGGCACCTGCTCTCCTGACCATCAGTGACCAGAGAGTGAGGACACCCTCCGGGCAGCAGGGGAAGTCGTCATGTTTGTACTTCTGATGTGCACGCCCGTCTCCACCTCCCCCCCTCCAACTTCCCCCCTCCTGCCCCCTTCCAGTTCTGCAGTTTTATTTGCCTGCCCACAACCCTACGTTCCTGGTGGCACAGGTTGGGGTGAGCATCAGGCAGAGGACATGACAAAGCCAGCAATGGCCCCGGTCCTGCCGCTTGAACTGCTCTCTCCGGCACCTCCCGGGTGCACAGTACCCACCCCCCCCCGCCCCGGCGGGCATCCTCCCCACCCCGCGGGCTGCCCGGAAGGTGGGTGACCCATGAGATGGGTTAGATACCTCGGAGACAGGATGCAGCCGCTGGGCTGGCCCGTGTCTGCAGGGGGCCCTCTATGCTTCCCTAGCCCCTCCTCTGAGGACACACAGCCCGCACCCCCCAGCTCTCACAGAAAGAAGGAAAACAGGGATTTTGGCAAAACAATTTTATTGTTTAAAAAAATATATGTTGCATCTCACATAGAAAAAGTCATTTTGAAACTGAATGTGTCTGTTTGAGGCCTCTTTAAGGGCCCAGTTTTCCCATAAAAACGAGGCAGTTCTCTTGGCAAAAAGGCACCGCAGAGTCTTGCTGCTTGGCAGAGGTGTGTCCGTGCCCACTGCTCCCCCCCTTCCCCCCGCCCAACAGCCCAGGGGTCTCCCCGGCTCCCTGGTCAGAGCCCAGTGCCGTCTCCCAGCCCCGGGCAGAGGACAGAGGGCAGAGGACGGACACCATCACACCTGCGTCCCTGCCCCACCCCCTCCAGGCGTCTTGCTGGCAACTGCCGATGAGGCTGTGGGTGTTTCCACTGAAAAAACTGTTTCTGAAAACCCAACTGTAGACGGTCTGATGGGCGCTCTCCTCCTTCCTACCACACCATCCCGGGGGCAGGGAGGACGGGCGCCCAGGCCGGGAGCCCGGCAGAGCTGAGCCAGCTGGCGGAGTGCCAGTCCACGGCCACGAAGCACCGTCTGCAGAGACACGGGCGGGAGCACGGACAGACGGGGGCTGTGGTTAGCAGAGAGCGGCTCCCGGATCACAATCAGATTCCCGCTCACAGCAGCCTGGAAAGTCCCCTCCTTTCCAGACACACATGGCAACCGGCTTCTCCAGAGATGCCGGTCTGACGGCCCAGGAGGCCACTGCGCTGCACCAGCACCCGGGGCTCCAGAGGGAGGCGCCCCGCGGGGCTGGGAGGGCCGGCTAGAGTCCTAAGACCCGGCTCAGGAGCACCTGGCCTGTTGCCATTAGACACCAGTTCCACAGTCACCGGCGAAGGAGGCTCGGGACCACCTCACAGGGTGCTGAACAATCAGACGACACCACACCACGCTGTGCAGAATGTTTAGTCTTTAGCCCGGGACTTAGCCCCCGTCACAATCGCTGCCAGGCTTCTGGGGAGCGCTTCCTCACCACCCACCCCTCCTCCCCCCGCCAGCAGCCCTGAGGTGCTGGGGGAGCCCCTGCTCTGGGCCTGGGCATGAGGCTGCAGGACTGGGAAGCCCGGGTTCGAGGCCCAGCATGGTGGCAGTGTCCCCGTGGGAGCCAGCAGGCGTGCTCCCTCCCAAGCCGGGGTCCTTGGCGTGGAACGGGGTAAAGCCGGATTCCAGCAGCACTTTTCACACTATGGATCAGCTCAGTTAGCGGATGATGGGCAGCATTTTCTCAACGAGACAGAAAAGAGGACATGCTCCCAGGCCGGTCCTGACCACACTGAGCTGGAGACAGGGCTCTGGCTGTGGGCCACGGGCCCAAACGTTTGGAAACCACCAGCTGAGCTTCCCCGCTCAGGGCCAGGAGGGGAAGGGGAAGGGGAAGAGGGAGGGGAAGGGTGGGGAGAGTGAGTGCTGACAGGGCCCCCCGGGGGACTTTTAAGACAGCAGCGGATTGTGGAAGGAAACCTTTGGCATTTTTGCCCCAACTCCCCCCAGACAAAGGGTGCATTCGGGGCAGGCAGCCCTCTAAGAACAGGACATGCTCGGCTCAGGCTGCAGTGACTCACGGTTATTCAGAAGTGGTGATGGCTCACCCTTTATCCCAGACTGAAGCGGGAACGGGAGGTCCCGTCCGCTCTGGTGTTACAACCCCAGAGGAACACGTTCCCAAGGAGCAGCTGGGGGGGTGGGGGTGGGGGGGGAGCTGGGGGCCCAGGGAGGCAGAGTGCAAGAAACGGGAGCAGGACAAGGGGAATTCCTGGGACACGGGGAATTCATGGGGGTCAGACTGCAAAACACGGCAGGGATGGTGCCTGAGCGCCCCCACGTGGCCACCGACCTGCAACCACCTGTGTCCACCAGCATCTCTAGAGCCAAAAGGCCAAGATGCTGACTCCCCACCAGGCACTGATTCTGTGCTGCCGAGGTCAGCGGCGGCCTGCCAGCGGAAGCAGGATTTTAACAGGAGCCCCTGGACAGGGACCAGCTCCCAGGCTCCCACCCCACACAGAAGCCACAGTCTTTAAATTGTAGCCGAGGAAAGTCTGAGCAGTCAAAAGCAGAGAAATGGATTTCGGGGGGCCCTCCTCACCAAGGACAGCCCTCTGATGGCGTCTGTCTCGGTGAGGGGGGCGCAGTCACATGAAGCATCTTATTCCTGACAGCACAGCGGGGGCATGCCCAGGTGGAGCTGAAATACTCTGTCCCGTCACTGGTGATTTTATAAAGCATTTCAGACACCCCGGGGGGGGGGGGGGTCTCGGGAGAACAGGCCCCGTGGGCCCCGCTTCTCGAGAGAGGAGCACCTCACCCATTCCTAGGAGAGGTGGCCCTGCTCCTGAGCCTCCCACAATGCAGCGGTGCAGGGAGCCTCCCACAATGCAGCGGTGCAGGGAGCCTCCCACAATGCAGCGGTGCAGGCAGCGGCAGAGGGGCGGGCAGGCAGGAGGCTGCCGGTGGGGTGCCGGAGAGGCAGAGTGAGGAGGGTGCTGAGCCCCGGCTGCTGGAGCTGCGGCCGCCCTAGCAAAAGGCCTGGCTCCTGTCTGGTCCGATCAGAGCGTCTGGACGATGCATCGCTTGGTGTTACATCTCTCCCCCAGAGAGCTGTCCCCATCAGAGGACGAGATCTTTCCTGGTAAGCCAGGGAGGACCCTGCGAGCAACACCTACCCGGAGGTCCTGAGAGGGAAAGAGCCCTCGGGAGGGAACCCTGGATGGCCTGAGGCTGTGCCCAGCGTGTGCCCAGCGGCCAGGGTGGGGTCCCCCCATGCAGAGGTCATTGCTTAGGAAGGGCCCCGAACAAGTCACAGGGTTTTGGCACGGTTATAGCACCCAGTATTTGTGGCTGTGTTCTTGTCATCAACTTCCTGTCTATACAGGAAGTCTGGGGACAGCCAACTTACCAAGGAGGGATGGACGCCCCCAAGTTGGGAGGAGGAGGAAGGAAGGACACACGGAGCAGGAGGCAGCCCACGGGAGCAGGACGGCAGCTGAACAGCAGAGGCTCCGGGAGGAAAGGGAAGCAGGAAGGGAAGAGGCTGCAGGACTGGGAAGCCCGGGTCTCCAGGCAATCCCAACGCCTGCCCGGCACGGCCCCTGCACCCGCTGGGCCAGGCTCCCTGCTGAAGCTGGGAGCACCCGCGCCCAGCCTGGCCACGAGGCAGGCTGATGCTGATGTGGAAGCCCCAGACTCCCCGTTAGGGGGACGCCTCTCCCTAACCTGGATCTGAAGCTTCTCATGAGCCTCCATCTCCTCCTCGTCTCCGGGTCTGACCACATCGGGACAGGGACCATCAAAGGGGTTGGACGGGGCCTCTCCCGGGGCTGACCCTGGGGCACCCGGTTCCAGAGAGCCAGGCGCCCGGGCAGGTGGCAGGACTCGGGAGGGGGGAGGACAGGGGGCAGACTGCCCGGGAGTGAGCGGAGGGCGAGGCCCCATCACCCCAGAAACGCCTCGTAGTCCATGTACCACACCAGCTGGCCGGACGCGGGCCGCACGCCCGAGATGGGCCACTTCCTGGGCTCGTGGCCGACGCGGCTCACCAGCAGGGCGATCTCGCGCTTCAGCCGGCCCATGACCAGCACGGCCACCCTCCGGGCGCGGTTGATGAGGGGCAGGCTGAGGCTCATGCGGCGGCGCGGGCCCGAGGGGCTCTCGGTCAGCACCACCAGCGGCTCGCCCTCCAGGCCGGCGGGCGACTGCGGGAAGAGGGAGGCGGTGTGCCCGTCGGCGCCCATGCCCAGCAGCACCAGGTCGAAGCTGCTGTTGGCGACCAGGGCGGCGATGTCCTCGGCGTAGGCCTCGGCGCCCCGGTCCTCCTCGGCGCAGAGCCGCCGGTGCCGGTGCACGGGCATGGGATGCACGTTGTAGTGCGGCACCCGCACGTGCTGCAGCAGGTGCGTCTGCAGCCCCTGGAAGTTGGACTCGGGGTCCCAGAGCGGCACACAGCGCTCGTCCACCAGCCACAGGTGCGTGCGGGCCCAGGGGAAGGCGTAGTGGCCCATGGCCAGCTGCTGGAACAGGGCCACGGGGCTGGAGCCGCCCGACAGCGCCAGGTGGAACTGGCCGGAGCGCCGCACGGCCCTCACGGCGGCCGCCTCCACGTCGCCGGCCAGCTTGGCGATCAGCTCCTCGGCCCAGGCGGTGACCAGCGGGCCGTCTCGGTACGTGGCCTTGAGAACCTGGAAGTCGCTGGGCGTGGGGGCGGAGCCGGGCCCCGGCACCAGCTGCTCCGCCTGCTGCACCGAGAAGGACAGCTGGCCGCCGCTGAACTCGAAGTCCAGCAGGTGGCCGTGGTCCGCCCCGCCGGGGTACAGGCGGGGGGCCTCGCGGGCCAGGCTGTCCAGCAGGGGCGTCCAGAAGGCCCAGGAGGCCAGCAGGCTCTCGGTGGCGATGAAGGAGTCCTTGCGGCCGTGGAAGATGCGTGAGATGAGGACGGAGTAGGCGTCCTGCTCGCGCTCGGGGCGGTAGACGTGGAAGTCGGACAGGGGGCGGCCGAAGAGGCGGAGCCCGGGCGGGCCCGCCGCCTCCTCCCAGCCGCGGGGCAGCGCGGGCCGGAACAGGTTGCGGCTCACCAGCACGGCGGGGCCGCCCAGCGCGCCGTGCCCGATGTGGAAGACCACCTGGCGCGGCAGGCAGGCGCTCTGCTCCGCGGCCCAGCGCGCCTCGCTCTGCACACAGCACGCCCGGTTCCGGAGCAGCACCCGCACGTAGCCCGCCCGCTCGTCCAGGGCTTTGCCCGACATCAGCAGGAAGGGGACGCCCTCCCAGCGAAGGTTGTCCACGTGAACGAGGACGCCTGCGGGACGAGGACAGGGGGGTGACCCTCCAGCGCGGACACGGGCTTCCGCCCGCTCGCCTCCCCTTCCTGCCTCCGCCCCGCTCTGGGCACCCACGGCCTAGCTAGGCCCACCCCCCCTTCACCCCTCCCATGACCTTCCCTCCGGCGGTGCTCAGAAAGCAGCCTCGCCAGGCCAGTGTGGCTCCGTGGTTGAGCATCAACCTATGATCCAGAAGGTTAACAGTTCAATTCCCGGTCCAGGGCACAGGCCCGGGTTATGGGCTCAATCCCCAGTGTGGGGCATGCAGGAAGCAGCCGATCGATGATTTCCCTTCATCATTGACGTTTCTATCTCTCTCTCCCTCTCCCTCTTGGAAATCAATACAAATATTAAAAAAAATAATAAAAAAAAAAAAAAAAAAAAAAAAGAAAGAAAGGAAGAAAGAAAAGCAGCCCTATGGCAGCCCTAGCCAGTGGATAGATTGTCAGCCTCGGACTGAAGGGTCCCGGGTTCAGTTCTGGTTAAAGGCATATCCCTCATTGTGGGCACATCCCCAGTGGGGGGGGGGGGGGGGGGTTGCAAGAGGCAGCTGATGGATGATTCTCTCTCATCAATGTTTCTAACTCTCTATCCCTCTCCCTTCCTCTCTGTAAAAAGCCAATAAAATATATTTTGAAAATAAATAAATAAAGGCATATACCTCAGTTACAGGCTCGATCCTGGCCCCGGTCAGGGCTTATACGGGAGGCAACCAATCGTGTCTCTCTCACATCAGCATTTCTCTGTCCCTTCCCCTCCCTTCCCCTCTCTCTAGAAATCAATGAAAAAAATATGCTCAGGTGAGGATCAACCAAAAAAGAAGAAAAAGGAGCAAGAAAAACAGCCTCGGGACCATCGCAGACACCGCCTCTTCTAAGCTCACCGACCCCGAGGAAGGAGAGCTGGGCTGAGGTGGGACCCAGAGCCTCTGAGTCCCAGGATGGGGGAGGCTGGCTGCTGGGGGGCTGGGCGGGGGGGGGGCACTTAGGCATGCCTGAGCAAGGTCATGTGCAGAAGGGAGGGGTGTGCAGGTAAGGCGGACTTCAAGGGCGGGTGGGGGGTGGACTAAGGGCCAGGCTGAGGGTCCCCGGGACTCAGCTCCCGGCCCGGGTCCCATCCCTGTGCCCGCGGGCCTCGGCAGGTTTCCCGCCGTCACTGAACCTCACACCTCCTCCTCTAAGCGGGATAATGACCACAACTGCCCCGTGGTGCCGTGAGGACCGCATGAGACGATGTGTATGGAATGCCTGGCACTCAGCAGTGCTGCTCCCGTGCGGGTATGATCTGCCGTCTGAGGGGCACCCCTCCCAGAAGGCCTGAGCCTCGGGGACTGCCCAGAGGATGCTCTGGGGGGGGGGGGGTGCTTCGGCCAGTGGCCGGACAGGCTCGCAGCCTCACTGGGGGGTGGGGGGAGCCCGCGCCCGGCCCGGGGCCCACCTGCGAAGGTCGGCGTGAGGCTGAGGAAGCCGGCCGGCTTGTGCAGCTCCCGGCGCACCTGCTCGCTGTAGGCCTGGTACTGGCCCAGCACGGCGCTGCCCCTCCGGAGGCCCCGCAGCGCCTGGAACACCTGCAGCTTGTGCCGCAGCACGGCCTCCGAGCTGCCCACGTCGAAGGGCAGCTCCATGGCCACCAGTGTGAGGATCTCCGTCAGGTGGTTCTGCAGCACGTCTCGGATGACGCCGTACTCCTCATAGAAGCTGGTGCGACCTGCGGGGGGAGGACCGGAGCCGTGAAGGTGGCCACACGCCCCTGTCCCGAGGTGCACCGAGACCCCAGCCCGGCGCCTGTCCGCACCCACGCCCCGTCCGCAGAGCCCACAAACATGGGTTATGTGGAAACCCCTGGAGCCATTTAAGAGACCGCATCACACTCTGGGCTTCTCCAGGAAGTGGTGGGAAGGCTCTGGCCCCAGCCACGGCCAGGCTGCATGTGCCCAGGACCCGGCCCCATGGGGAGGGCCTGGCTCTGCGGTCCGAGGGCCGCTTACTGTGTGACCTCTGAGTGTCTGTGTCTGCCTCCCGCCGATCAGCGGGGCTGACAACTGCCACCCATTACCGAGTGCACCAAGGTGCCAGCAACGTGCAGGCGCCAAGGACACACACAGGCCCTTATCTTCGGCTTCTGGGGAAGAAGGTGGAGGGAGGACAAAGTAAGTCAACAGAGAAATGAGAGATGTGACAGAGGCAGAGAAGGCCCCTGAAATGGGTCAGCCTGGCAGCGGCAGGGAGAGCAGTTCCAGAGCGAAGCCTGAGGCAGATGGAGCCAGACTGGCTCATGGCCAGAGGGAGGGACAGGGGCCCAGAGCCCAGGTGAGGGGGGGACTTGTTTCTGAGCTCAGGGGGAGCACCTGGTGGGTTTCAAGCAGGAAGGGACAAGCTCAGAGGCGCCTTCGGCCTAGACCATGCCCGCTGGGGGGAAGAAGGCTGTAGAGGTGAGGGGAGAAGAGCTGTAGAGGTGAGGGGAGAAGGGCTGTAGAGGTGAGGGGAGAAGGGCTGTAGAGGTGAGGGGAGAAGAGCTGTAGAGGTGAGGGGAGAAGGGCTGTAGAGGTGAGGGGAAAAGGGCTGTAGAGGTGAGGGGAGAAGGGCTGTAGAGGTGAGGGGAGAAGGGCTGTAGAGGTGAGGGGAGAAGGGCTGTAGAGGTGAGGGAGAAGAGCTGTAGAGGTGAGGGGAGAAGGGCTGTAGAGGTGAGGGAGAAGGGCTGTAGAGGTGAGGGGAGAAGAGCTGTAGAGGTGAGGGGAGAAGGGCTGTAGAAGCAAGGAGCCCAGGGACAAGGCTTTAGTGGGAGCACAGGGGCTAGAGGGAGGGATGACTGGGCTGCTGAGCAACGAGGAGGAGCCAAAGTGACTCCTAGAATCAAGGCCTAAGTGAAGGAGAGTGGTGGAGCCATCGCCACGGTGGGGAGACGGCGAGGAGCAGCTGGATGGAGGGAAACACGAGTTCCGTTTCAGGTGAGTTCCGGCTGGACATGCCTGTGGAGACGCCCCGTTGGCGGTGGACGAGGTGAGGGAGGAACACAGACTGGCACGGCCGCAGCACAGCCCAAGCCCGCTGTGGCCCAGCCCGGTGCAGAGGCTCCCGTGCCTTCTGCTCACACCGCAGGTCCCGTGGCGCGGCAGCCACCACGCCTGTCCCTGCTCCCCCGGGGCAAGAGAGGACTTGGTGAGGACAGCAGCGATGGGACGGTTCTCACACTCTCTCTCTCTCTCTCTCACACACACACACACCCTCCTCCGGAGCTCGGCGTGAGCTATGACTGTCAGAGTCAAGTGCAGATGCTCCACTGTCTGAGAGCGAGGTTCCAGCACATGGGAGGGCTCCTGTCCCCAGCCGAGGACACACAGAGGAGGGCGATGGTGGGTGGGGGCTTGGCATGCCCTGTCCACGATGAGGCTAGTTCTCACCCCCGCAGCGCCACTCGGCCGCCATCAGCTTTGGGAGATGTCCCTGACCTCTGGCACCCTCTGTGGGCCCTGCCTCCTGCCCACTCCTGCCCGACTCAGTGCCCGCCCGGCGACACCCGGAGCCCCATGGGAGCAGGAGCTGGTCCCTGCTCAGAGCGGCTGCCCTGGTGCCTGAGAGCGCCGCCTGCAGCCACGGGACGCTGAACGGCGGAGAAAACGCTTAGACACGCGTCACCATGTAACAACTGCAAAAAACACGTTGATGGAAAAAAACATGAATGCTTCCTCAAAAATTAATACTGAACACAGGATGGAGAATGGCCAGAGAAACAGAACCTCGACAGGAAACCTGCTCCAGGAACTTGGGAATGCTTTCCGTGTCAGAAACAGGGAAGGAGTCAGTTATTAGAAGCCAGACCTCAGAGACTGTCCTGAGTGCAGGATGAAGGGACAAAACAGCCACCTCCAGCCCACACTCAGCACCGCGCCCTCCAAATGCCACAGCCAAGTCAGGGTCAGGCAGCCATGGCAGCAGCAGGCAGAGCCAGGGCGGGTCTACCGCAGTTTGGAGCGCTACAGGCGGGGCGGGAGGCAGTTTCGGGGGGACCCGGAGACACGAGAGCCATTTCAAAGTCGGGTGGGGGCATGTGGTATTTGCTGTGCCCCAGTCCTGTGGATCTTATGTGCATTTTGTACGCATTCCTTTTTATCGAGTCAATATCTAGTTCACACAAACAACAGGAGGGATCCTTTTTCAGGTGGCATGGCCAGCACACTGCCCTCAGCGGCCACCAGGGCCTGAGTAAGGTCCCGAGCCCCCTGCCTGCCCGGCTCCCAGCGCGGCTCCGGCAGCTGGACGTGAGCAGGAGCAGGCAAGGGAACAACCCGCCCTGAAAGCAGCCCAACAGGCCACGCCAACACGGGGACCAGTGCTGTGGGCGAGGGGAGGCCGCAGCCGCCTGCAGGAAGGCGCCGTGTCCCCGTGGGGGCGCGCTGACTCTTCTCACCAGGAGTTCGGCATCCCTGGCCAGAAACCCGGGACAGCAGACCGTCCAGCCCTGTCCAGCCGCATGCTCAGAGTCCCAAAAAGACAATGGCCAAGGCCGCCCCACAGCGTTCGGACCATCAAAGCTCTTACAACATTGCTGAGAAGACACCAGGAAAAAGCTGTGACAATAACAACAAATGGGTATCATTCCGCTCACTCCTCGCATACCGATATCTAAGGACGTCCTGCTGTGACCCCTGGGCCCAGAGAAGTCAGGTAACTTGCCCAAGGTCACACAGCTGGTTAAGGTTTGAACCCAGGCAGTTGGCCCCAGCACCTGCAGTTCTTGCCACCAAACATCTCCCTTTCTACTTCCTCCACCCCACTGAAACGACCATAGGACACGGCACTCAGGGTGACGCTTGGTGGCCCAAGCACCAGGGACTTCAGAACGGAGCACTGTGGTTGGAGGAGCAAACTGAACAGGGATCCAGAGAACGGGATAGGTCAAAGGTCGGGGACCCCGTGCCTGGGGGCCAGTGCGGGTGTGAGGGGGATGGGGCAGCGCTTACGTCCCCCGGGACAGTTAAATGCCTCCGCTGCCAGCAGGTGGTGCCTCGTGGAGTGTGGGCTCGGGTGACCAAGCCTTCTAATTGTTTTGGAGAACATAAGCATTTGGGCCAAGGAGCGTAATCTCATGGTTTTCCAATGTGCACACATAGTTCAGATTGCTTAAAATGCTGCGTGTCTCAAAGGCATGCATGTTGGGCTGACTGTCCCTGGGCCACATCCCAGTTGGGTGGACAGCACTGGCCAGAGGGCAGAGGCCCCAGCACTGTTCAGAGGCAGCGCCTGGCCCGGCAGAAGCAGCGGCTGTGGCTGGGAACAGCAGGCATCCAGGACGGATGCGAAGGGCCTTGGGAACTAGACTGAGGAGTCTGAGAGCCAGTAAGTTCTTGACCGCAACTAGTTAAAGAGCCACCATGTGACCCAGCAATCCTACTGTCACGTATACACAAGAGAAAGGAAAGCGTACGTCCACACAAAAACCTGTACATGGATGCTCATGGCCACATTGCTCCCGGCAGCCACCAAAGAGCAGCGTCCTGCATGTCCACTTGCTGACGAACGCAGGACTAACATGTAGTCTGCCCACAGGACGGAGTATTAGGCAGCATTGAAAAAGGTCGCTCTGGCAAACGCTACAACATGGGCGAACCTTGAACACATCACGCTAAGGGAAATAAGCCAAACACAAAAGGCCACAGATCGTATCAATCAGCCCATTGATGTGAAACGTTCAGAACAGGCAAATCCATAGAGACAGAAAGGTCCGGGGCTGCGGGGGGCTGGGGGAGAGGAGGGAGTTAGAGGCAGGCGCTTCTGGGGGTGACGAGAATGCTCTCAAGTGGGTCGTGGGGATGGCCGCCCCACTCCGTGAACATACGGGAGGCACTGAACTGCACACCTCAAAGGGGTGAACTGTGACACATAATCACCTCTCCATAGAACTGTTTTACAAAGTGGAGACATGAGAGGCGCTGTGGGGAGACCAGGCGGCCAGGGCCTGCCGGTGACCTGTCGGGGCGGCCGAATGACAGTAAGCGGGGCGGGGTGCGGGGAGCAGCAGTGTCCAGAGGCAGCTCAGGGTCGGGGCCTGGAGTGGGGTCTCCGCCCGGCCATGCCTTAGCCTGTGGCCCGGGGAGTGGCTGTCTCACACGTGCTCCCAGCGGGGCTGCTGGAGGCTAATGAGCCCGCACACACGCAGGCCTGGAACCGTGCCTGGCACACAGGCAGCACCATGAACACCGGCTGGTGTTGGCACTGCTCAGGGGCGGCATGAGAGGGGCCCGGCCAGGCAACTCGGACAGCAGTCACCACGTGGGAATAAAGAGTTAGAAAGAGTCGTTATATTTCATGAGAAAAATGCAAGGATGGTTTTAGTCCTAACGCTGCTGAGTCGGAAGAGGTGGTGTGGCCTCCAGTGAAGAAAACCTAAAAGGTGCCGGGCTAGTGTGGCTCAGCGGTTCAGCATCCACCTACAAACCCAGGAGGTCATGTTCGATTCGGGTCAGGGCACAGGCCCCGGTTGCGAACTCAATCCTGGGTGTGGAGCGTGCAGGAGGCAACCGATCAATGATTCTCTGTCATCATTGATGTTTCTCTCTCTCTCCCCCTCTCCCTTCCTCTAAAAAGAAACCCTAAAAGGTAGCTGGTGGTCTGAGATGGGCCTGGGGAGGCAATGATGGGAAGGATATGCTGGATTTCGTCAAATCAAAACTGCCATCGATGGTGAAAGAATCATTTTTTTTACAACCTCGAAGAAAAGGAGTGCCAATTCAACCGCCATTTCGCCAGTGGGAAATCCAACTTCAGAGATGGGGAAGACGTGTCTCAGAATCAATGAATCGCAGCGGACTTAAGAGTATAAAGAGAATAAAGCTTTGCAAACAGAGGAATTTTTGATGGCGAGAACACAGCAGAGTCCTTAAAAGCCCTGTTATCTGCTTACTATTCATTAGCTGAGCAAATCCCTCAGTGGCCCTCTCCTATTTTTATCCCTCCCGATCCTCGGGGAGCACGCACTTCGAGGCGTCCTGCCCGCTGTGTAAAAGAGCGCTTCCTCTCCTCCTCATTGCAGGCGCCTGGGGGTGCCGCGTTCGGCGCCGCCCACAGATTGCAGACTCTGATCCTCCCCTGGCTGGCTGTCTTCTCAGAGTTCAAGTGCAGTGGCCCGAACCTGTGCCTCTCAGAGGGAGGCCTGCAGCTAAGCACAGGCCCAGGGAAGGGAGGGCGAGGACTCCAGAAGATGCCAACAAGCTGGGCTGTTCTAGCTGCCACCAGCTGTTGTGGACTTTTTTTTTTTTTCCTGAAAATGATCTATATTGACCCCTCGAAACCTCAAGGGGTGGCATCCCAGGGGAGGCAGGAGAAGTCTGGGAGATGGAATAGCAAAGGAGACTTTCTCCTTTGGCCTACTCATTCCACTTCGGAAATATACTTAAGAGTAAGGTGACCTGACGTCCCACTTTTGGCGGGACAGTCCTGATTTTTAACAATTTGTCTCAAGTCGTTAAAAATCAGGACTTTTTTAAAACGCCACGGGACACGGGACAAATTGTTAAACATCGGGACCGTCCTGCCAAAAGCAGGATGTCTGATCACCTAAACTTAGAGGGAAAATAAACGTAATACTCATAAGTGTTCTAGAATATATTCACAAAGTTATGGTTGCACAGCTTTGTGAATATATTAAGAACTAGAGAACTGTACATTTTAAAAGGGTAAATTTTATAAAAATATATTTTTATTATTTCAGAGAAGGAGAGAGAGAGAGAGAGAGAAACATCAATGATGAGAGAGAATCACAGATCAGCTGCTTCCTGCACGCTCCCAACTGGGGATGGAGCCCGCAACCCAGGCATGTGCCCTTGACCGAAATCGAACCTGGGGCCCTTCAGTTTGTAGTCTGATGCTCTATCCACTGAGCCAAATCAGCTAGGGCTAAAAGGGTAAATTTTGTGGCATGTGAATTATATCTTAACATTTTTTTGAAAGCTCACAAAGAACTATTTAAATTAGCAAAAACTGAAACAACCAAAATGCCTAAAAATAGAACAATCCGTACTCTGTGACATAAACAGAACTGAACAGAAATATAGAGCTCCTAAAAGGTATATATTAGCCCGGCTGGTGCAGCTCAGTGGTTGAGCACCACCCTATGAACCAGGAGGTCACAGTTTGATTCCCAATCAGGGCATATGCCTGGGTTTCGGGCTAGATCCCCAGTAGGGGGAATGCAGGAGGCAGCCAAACAGTGATTCTCTCTTATTATTAATGTTTCTCTCACTCTTGCTCCCTCCCCCTCTCTGAAAGCAATAAAAATATATTTTAAAAATAAAAATAAATAAGTCAGGTGGAACCCAGGGCCTGAGGCCATGCCCACTTCCTACCCTTGCAACATATATAGAGAACAGCACTTCCGGTTGTAAAGTATTCCCATGTTCATACACCATCAGATTTAACCCCCAAGACTCTCTGAGAGAGGCAGACGGGGAGAGACAGACGGACAGACCCCGGGTCGCCGCCCCCATGTACAGAGATTGCTGGGGCCGGAAACCGGTCCTGTTGCCTCCAGGTTACGGGAGATCCCAACTTCCTGGTACAAACAGGGCTTTAAAAGCACAAGAAACTAAAAGCAGCTGAGACCGCACCAGTGCCTTCTGGGATCACTAAAAACAAAAAGGGGGCGGGCCCAGGAGCGAGCGCCCACTGGTCAGGGAGTCTGGCACTGCCTGGCACCGCCTGGCTCGCCTTGGCCGCTCTGCAGATGGGGCGGGAGAGGGGGCGGGAGGGAGGCGGGTGCCCTGCTGAGTGCGCTTCGGCCCCTCTGGCACACCAGCCGGTTCTGGGAGGACCCGGCTGCCCGTCCCGCAGTGACAGGCACCGAGCGGCCACTCTGCCCTCAGAAGTGGAATGCATCACGCTCCATCCTCAGGGCAGGACAGGGACCCTCGCTAGCCGGGCCTCAGTCCGTCAGCGGCCCAGCCCTCCTTCCTCAGAGCCTTTCCCAGTAGCCCAGACTGGGACCCGCAGGCGGCATCTCCACAGAAGCGAAGTGGCCCACCGAAGTCACTGCTTGTGTGGCCCACAGGGCGGTGACAGGGGACCCGGTCCCAGGCTCCTGCGACTCTCAGGGGCTCACTGGATGGGGACCCCTCAGGAGGGCACCCGATGAGAAGAGGGAGCTGCACTGCAGCTGGAGGGAGGCCTGCGTCTTCCTCCCCTCCTCCCGTCTGTCTCTCTCAGCGTCTCTCTCCCTCTCCCTCCCTCCACCCCCTCCCTGCTGTCTGTGCAGCGGCCTTGACGCTGCAGCAAACTCCTCTGGGCCAGAAGCTGAGGCAGAAAAGGAAGAAAAAAGCCACCGCAGCCGTGGAGGGAGGGAGCTGGGGCAGCCAGCCCCGTCCCCGTGGATGGGAGTGAGTGGGTGGGGACATCCTAATGACCTTGCAGCTCACAAGTCCCTCTCCCGGGCCTGCAGCTGCTCAGGCCAGTACAGCTCAAACCCCCGCCCCTGCCAGCACTCGGGTGGTAGTCCAGGCTGCCACCAGGGACCCCCCCTGCCTCCCTCACAGGACTCAGTGAGGGCTGAGCACCTGCAGAAGGAGAAAGCCAGGGGCTGAGGGCTGGGGTGCTAGAGGGAGAAGGCCCCACTTTGCCCTCTGGCTTAATGGTCGGAGCAGAGCGCTGGGCTCAGAGCTGCCTGCTGGCCACACTCAGTCCCATTGCAGCGGGCGGTGACCCCCAGCAGCAGGGAAAAGACTGCCCTGCCTGTTTCCTACCCAACCCAGAGAAGGTGAGCCGAGGCCTGACATGCTGCACATGGGGCTTCCTGGCCATCGTGGGGGGGCTGCAGGGTCCAGGCTCCAAAGCAGGACCCAGAGGGGACAGCGAGGCTCAGTGCTCGGGGCACCAGAGCTGCACAGGCCACTTCCTGGATGGGAAGAATGTGTGTCCTAAGTCCCAGTGGGGTCGGAGGGAGAGAGAGACAGAGAAAGACAGAGACACACACACGCACACACACACACACACACACACACACACAGGAGACAGAGAGACGGCGAGAGAGAGACACAGAGACAGAGAACTCACTTCCTTTAGAATGTTGCCCTTTGTCTAGGCCCTGGCTCCATGGGGATCCTGCAAAGAAACCCACAAATGACAACGGGGCCCCAAAATGAGAGGCCATGGCGCCCACTGGGACCTCCAGACAGTGCGGCTCTTCCCCAGCCTGGCGCAGGCACAGCAGCAGCTGCCAGACAGCGTGGAGGAGGGGAGTCCTGCGCCCTAGCCCTGCGGCGAGCAGGCCATTCCAGGCAGACAGAGCAGGGCAGTGCTGGTCCCGCAGCAGGTGCGGCCGGCTCCTCATCCTGCGGCCCTCGGCCCGCCCCCGCACAGGGCCTGCGAGCATCCTCTGCAGACAGAGCAAGCGGAGGCCCCGCCCTCATGCCGCCAGGACCTCAGACACACAGGCCCAGGAGGGAGCCCTGGCCTGAGCCCTCGCTAAGGACACAGGGGGATCTGGCAGGGCTGGGGGGATCCCGAGACCCCGGAAAGCTCACTGCGTGGGGACCTCTCTTCTGATGGGGGTCCGGGCTGGAGGAACCCGGCTCCTCTGAAGGACGGCAGTGCACTTCGGGCCTGGCTCCCAAGGGCTGCCTGATGCCCCTGCCCACGCACCCCTGCCTGCCTCATCCAGTTTGGAGTATGTCCCCATAAACTCTCTCCCCCCATGAATGTGTGAGGTACTGGGGGACAGAGGCTGCATCTCACTGCTCCCCCTGTCACCAGATCTAGCTCTGCATACACGTCCAAAGAGGAGGGAGAGCAACTGGAGAGAGCAACCAGGAGAGAGAAGGAAAAAGAGGAGAAGGCAGAGAACAAGGGACAGACATCCTCGTCCCCCACCCAGGCCTGAGGGTCCGGTCCCGCTCCGCCCAGGCACACAGTGCGGGGCAGGGCGGGCCTCGGTTCCTCACTTGCAATGGGGTATTAGCGGTTCCTACATCATAGGGCTGTTATAAGATTACAGTGAGTTAATGCTTATGTTGTGCCGGGGACAGGGCTGTATAATTATTGCGGAATATTAGTAAGAGCAGCAAACACTAAATGCTAACATGTTCCAAGCATGAACGTGATGCTCATGAGCATTAGATCTCACGGAATGCGGACAGGAGCCTGAGAAGACCAGTGGTGGGTCCCACCTCGTCGCCCTCCTGCAGGTAGGAGAGCCGAGGCACTGAGGGTCCCCAGGTGAGAGGTGGGGGAGCCGGCAGGCACCAGGCAGAGGTGGCCACTTGGACGAGTACAAAAGTCTGAGGAAGCCTCACGCGACCCGACTGTCCCCCGCACCCCCAGAGAACTCGGGGTACCTTCTGGCACTTACTGCTGGCCAACCGCTCAGCATCAGAGCCACACTGGCCTGAGGAGACCCCACGCTCTGAGGGCAGCGCTGGCCACTCAGGTCTGCCTGCAGGGCCCTGGGGGCTAGGGGTCCGCACACCAGCGACAGCACCCTCTGCGAGGCACTGGCAGGCAGAGGGGCAGCCAGCGCCCAGCAGACACCGGGCGGGAGGACGAGGCGGCGGGAGCGGGACCCTCCACGCACCTTCGGCGTCCACCGTCTCCTTCAGGACGATCTCCACCCGCTCCACGTGGTGCCGGCTCCACAGGCCGTCCAGCGCCTTGCGGTTCTGGTCTCGGAAAGGCAGGATCTGGGCCACGGCCTGGCGGGGAAGCAGACGGGGTGCTGCGGGGTCTCCTCGGGACCGAGGAGGAGGCCTGGCTCCCAGGAGGGCCCCACCCTCTCTTCCCGACTCCGAGAGGCCGTCAGAGCGATGGCCCTGGCCGTCAGGCTTCCCACCTCCCACTTTAGGTGACCGCCCCAGGGCCGCCAGCCTTTTAGTTTGTCAGGAGAGGAAATAGTTAAGATGATCTTTTGCCTCTTACCATCAACATTAAATATCAGAAAGATACTGTAACACCAAAAATGGAATAAGGAAAGCTTCAGCTCGACATTGTGCTATTTTTTTTCATTTTCTCATAAGCAAGTGACATCTCCCCGGGACAGGCCTGGCTGAGGGCCACTCTGGGAATGCTGACACTCAATGGGGACGGACGGAGAGCCACGCCTGAGGCCAGGGCTCGCCGCCGGTCAGCACCGGGCACGCAGGCGCGCTCTCTGCTGGCGTTTCCGGGGGGGCGGTGGGGGGTGTGTGTCCTAACGGGGCTCCCAGGGTGCAGAAAGCTGAGGTGTGTCCCTCGGGTCAGCCCCACGCTCTGCCACAGGGCCCAACTGAGAAGCAGGGGTCTTAGGTCCCTATTCTGTTCTAAGATCGGAACCCAGGAAGAAAAGATACTGAAAACCAGGCCACTGGGGGTGGAATAAGGTATCAATTCTAATTCCTACAGCACAGCCAGCCGAAGCCGGGCTCAGACCCCAGTGTCTCGGGGCCACCTCCAGAAGGGGCACTGGGCACCGCTGAGAGATCAGAGCACAGCCCTTGCTGGGAAAAAGGACAGGGCACGAGGACAAGGGCCACACAGACCGGCTCACCTTCTGCCCTTCGCCCTCTCACCTCCCGCCCAGCTTCAAAACGACCACGGAGCCATGTCTCCCACAGCTTCAGGCCAACCCCACAGTCAGTGTCGTGGCCCCAGCTCGCTCCGGCCTGGCAGGCTCACCTGCTTGCCCAGGTAGTGGTCCACCCGGTACATCTCCTCCTCGTGGAAAAAGCTGCCGAGGTCCGCGGCCAGCTGCTGGGCTGACTGGTGGTTGTGGCCGAAGGGCTTCTCCAGGACGACGCGCAGCCAGGCGCCGGGGCCGGGGCGGCAGCTGCCGTTGATGCTGCGGGCGATGTCCGCGTAGGCGAAGGGCGGCACGGAGAAGTAGAAGATGCGGCCCGCCTCCCAGAGGCCCTGGCGCTGCACCAGCGCCTCAATGTCCTTGTTCAGGGCCGCGTAGTCCTCCGTGGTCTTCAGCTGGTGGTACTGGCTCAGCCGCTGGAACTGGCCCTTGAGCTCGGTACAGCGATCGGGCGTCACATCCTTGGGGCAGGAAAGGGCCTCCAGGATCTTGGCCACGACCTCCTGGCCCTGCTCGGTGGCCGTCAGAGCAGCCCCGTGGAAGCTGAAATTGTGGCCCTTCCCCGCCTCCTCCAGGTACAGCTGGAACAGCCCCTGCCACAGGTACTTCTTGGCCAGGTCCCCCGTGGCCCCCAGCAGGACCACGGAGACGTGTCCCTGGAGGCCCTGGGCCCGCAGGCAGCCCAGAAGGGCCATGCACACTGCCACCAGGAGCATCCTCCAGAAGCCCGGGCGCCTGGGAGAGACACACAGAAGGAGGAAGGATCAGACACGCTCAGGTGGCGTGATGCAGGCAAACACGATTCCAGGCTATCGAACATTTCCTGCCTGGCAAGAAACAGCCACGTGTTTCTCAGGAAACCGCTAGTCCCAGCGTTCGCTGCCCCCCCCTCCCCCCGCTCCTCCTGGCAGCTTGTGTTAGTGCCAGGAAGCCGGCGGGTCGGCAGTGTGCTCTGTCAACAGGACTCTGCCGGGAAGGGGGCAGCCCCGGGCAGAGGTGGGACGTTTTGCTCCAGGAACATGGGAAGGAGGCACAGCCGTGAGGGAGGCCTCAGGGCCGCCATGGGATCGGAGCTGTCCACCTCATGGCCACGGCCAGTCTCTGCCCAGCGCGCAGGCTGCCTGCACCATCGGGGCAGCTCGGGAAGGTGGCTGGAGCTGTGAGAGATGCCACCCCTCTCCCCTCTCCCCTGGCTTCTCCCAGTGCACTGGCTCCAGCACACAGCGAATACACCGGGGGATAAAAGCACAGACCGGAACCAAAGAATTGAGTTCAAATCTCAGCGCAAGCCCTCACCTTGGACAATATCACGACCTCTGTTCCTCGGTTCCTCACTTGCAATGGGGTATTAGCGGTTCCTACATCATAAGGTTGTTACGAGATTACAGTGAGGTAATGTTTATGTTGTGCGGGGACAGGGCTGTATAATTATCGTGGTATATTAGTAAGAGCAGCAAACACTGAACGCCAACACGTTCCAAGCATGACCGTGATGCACGTGAGCATTAGGTCTCACGGAATGCGGACGGGAACCTGAGACCCAGTGGTGGGTCCCACCTCGTCGCCCTCCTGCAGGTAGAAGAGCCGAGGCACTGAAGGTCCCCAGGTGAGAGGTGGGGGAGCCGGACAGGCACCAGCCGCTGGCTCTGAGCTAACTGCACAGCAATGGCACGCTGTGGCCTCCCCCAGGCGGGCCTACCACTTGGCTGGTTGGAGCAGCTGACACGTATGAAGGGCGAGAGGCCTCGGACCTGCCACAAACACACCAGGGGAGTCGACTTCTCTGGCCTCTGTTCAAACCGAGGTTGTAAAGCTCATCGGGCTCAGTTTTACTCCCAGGCTCCCCATCCTTCCATTTCCACCAGGGCCTCGCTCCGAGGGAGAGGCAGGAGTGAGAAAGGAAGGAAGGAGTCGGGCCAGCAGCTGGGTCTCAGGAACAGGTGGGGGAATGGGTCCAGCCTGGCTGTGCTAATGAGGAAGGGACTAGGCCCAGCCGTGTGGCTCAGTGGTTGAGCATCGACCTATGGACCAGAAGGTCACGGTTCGATTCCCACTTAGGGCACATGCCCAGGCTGTGGACTCGATCCCTGGAGCGTGCCCTGAGGGAGGTAGCTGACCAATGATTCTCTCTCATCGCTGACGTTTCTCTTCTCTCCCCCTCGCCCTTCCTCTCCGAAATCAATACCATGTCAATATTTATTTATTTATTTGGAACTAGAATGACTGATTAACACCCATTATGGCAGGCAGATAAAAAATGAAGGGAATCCTCCACCACAAGTCTGTAATCTGGTCTACAGATAGGGAAACTGAGGCTTAAAGAAATCACAGGAAGTGACAGAAGCCCTGCAGCCCCGGCCAGCCGACCTTCCGCAGGCTGCATCGCCCCTGGATCGAGGCCCGGGATCTGCCCCCTGACTCAGGCATCTGACCCCCTCCTCCACTTGCCCTGTGCCTCGTCCTCATCTCTGGGGACCCATCCCCGAGACAGCACCGTTAGCAGCCAAACCAAGAGGAGATCCGACCACAGTGTCGGCACCAGCGTGCACAGGACACCGACATTTCCCGATTGCAGCTTTAACTGGAGGACCGGGGGCTCCCCTCTCCTTCACCTGCCCCCCGCCCCCCAATGCAGAGGAGCCACAGGCCCCTCCACTTTCTCCTCCTGCTCTCCAGCTCCTGGCCCTTCAAGCATTTCCTTCCTAAGTGGCAATGCCCTGTGGGGAGGGAGGAAGAGCTGCAAGGTCAGAGCAGGAGGAAGGTGAAGCCTGCAGCCGCCAGCTGGCAGGCTGCGTCTCAGGGCTCCTGATCGAGCAGCGGCCAGGGTTCTGGATGTGCCAGGGGGAAGGAGCTCAAGAACCTCCGGAGGCTGGGGGGGCAGGTGAGGGAGCCCATGGGCCAGAACCGCCGGCCCGACCCCAGAAGGCTGCAGAGAGCTGCGATGGATGGCCCGGGCCTGCCCGCCCGCCTCCCAGTCCCTCTGTAACCCGGTTCTGACTCAGCCTCCCCTGACAGCCGGTTTCCAGTTTGCCCCCTCACCTCAGCGTATGTCCCAGAACTCCGTGAAACAAGCACAGATCAGAGCTACCCGCGATTGCAGCAAGTCTGCTTACTCTGTGGTTGCTAAACGCCCGGGAACAGCTCCTCCCTGAACCAGTGTGGGCGGTGTGTGAGAGTGAGAGTGTGTGTGTGTGTGTGTGTGTGTGTGTGTGTGTTTGGATTTGCTTATTGCCATGTTTGCTTAACCTTAACAGTGTTTCTCAAACCTTAATATGCATCTGGGTCTCCTGAGGATTTTTTTAAAACGTAGATTCTGGTGCAGAGGGCCTAGGGAGGGGCCGGAGAGCACACTTAGGACAGCCAGACTCCGGGATACGGAGCACTGAGTCTAGAGCGGCAGTTCTCAGCAGAGGGGCCCAGGTCCAAACACACACACCTGCCTCCTGCTCCCTTCACCACGCGATGGGCACCTCGGCATCCACGGCAGCTCAGACCTGCCTGTCCAGCCGGCTGCCGACCCCCTGAGCCCGATGCTAATGCCCCAGGTTCCCGAGCAGGCAGCGTGCGCGGAGGGCTAAGTGCCTGACCTCCCCCAGGCGCCTGTGGAGGAGGCTCAGCGCGGAGGCCGTCTGACAGCTGCGGAAACTGTAGGGGCAGCTGAGGGGCCACACAGCCTGAGCCTCCGTCTGTGTAGAGCGTGGCATTTCAATCAGAGGACTGGCTCAAAGCCACCTCGGGCTCAGCCACACGACCCTGGCTTGGCACACAGTAAGTCCCTGCAACAGTGAGGGTCCACGTCTCCTCAATGACAAACAGGGCCCCCGGGGCGGCCCCCGCACGCGCCTGTGGCCTGAGCCCGCTCTGCTCACGGCTCTGCTTGGGGAGGTTCCGCTGAAGCTCCTCCTCCTGCCTCCTCGCCTGCCCTGAGAGGGAAGGGCTGTGGAGGAAATCTAAAGCTACATTTCACGCGAGAGCATGGAGGGGGCGTTCTGACCGCTGACCTTGCTCTCAATCTCTTCTCTTTATCATTAATAAACAAGAAAACCCTCAGTGAAAAGGTGGAGAAGCCACAGGCAGGACGGACGGAATAGCGGACTGAGTTGGAACACGTGGTGATTCTTGCCCGGGTTCACTGCTAAACGACCACACCACCTTGAACGAGACTTCTACCCGGGCTAGGCCCCAGCATCCTATCCAGGACATGAGGTCTGAGCTCCAGGGCCACCACACTCTGCGGTCCTCAACTCCTACGCTCTCCACGGAAAGAAGATGGCCATCTATTAACAGAGAAACACAGCCCGAGGCCAAAGTAGCAGGTGGAAATGCAGAACTAAAATATGAAGCAATAAAAACATAATAATAATAAAATATGAAGCAATGAGTGTCATTCAGAAATTAAGACAAAACTCTATGAAGCTGTAAGTTGCATGCGCAGAAAATGCAAGTTCATTTACAACCATTATTATTCAAGACACTCGCCAGAAACACAACACACAGCACAGGGCCGGCCCGAGGCCTCCTGCAGGGGTGCGGAGGTGGCAGGAGGTCTGCTGGCGGCTCATCAGGGCTTTGGGGCTGACCAGGCACCTGCCCAGGGTCCAGGCGCCCCAGCTCCAGACTGAGGGGTCTACAGGCATGCTGGGGACTCACCTTTCACAGCACAGCTCTGCTAACATGCAACGTGTGGGCGCTGGCTGCCAGAGGGTTTGGGTCAGAATCGGGGGGGTTCCAGTCCTTGCTTTTGCCCAAGCAAAAGAGGCGGCTGTGGGGCACCGCCCGCCGTGCCTGCCGGGGTCTGCACAGACCTGGAGGTGCGTGCCGCGCTCGGCGTGTCTGTAAAGCCCGGGAGGAAGCGGCTCTGGTCCCCTGGGCCCAGCAGCTGAGGGCGGGAGAGGAGCAGGAGGTAAAGGTCAGAGGCCGCTGCTGGCCTGCCCTCCCCAGCACAGCATGGCATCCACACCTCTGCCGGTACCCACAGCCTGGGCGCCCACTTTCTGTGTACCAGGCAGGAAGAAGGAAGGTTTTCTCAAACCACAGCCTAGGACTTTGGAATCTTTAAAAGGAAAACAAGTGAAACTAAAGATCCTTTCAACTGAAGTACAAAGGGCCGTGCCCAGTCCCTTCTGTGAGTGCCAACTCAATTTTCCCTCACTCTTTCCTGCTTGGGGGACCGTCTGTGCCCCCCCCCCCCCACACTCACGGTAAACTCAGGCCATTTTTCCTCCTCTCGGAGAGTACCTATCACCTCTTTAGGTACCAATCTGGGGTCCCCATGACCCAAACGGTGTGCTGGACGGAGCCCCCTTGTACCTCCACACAAGACTCAATGCTAAGCTTCCAGGAATTTTTCAAGCCACTTGTTAAGCACGGCCACTGTTAATAACGGGATGATACAAATTTAGAACTAAACCAATTATATTAAAAACACAGGTGAGATTGCATTTTACTATTATCTGTGCTCTTGCCATTAGTCCCACTGTTGCATCTGTAAGGGAAAATATTCTGTAGCAAGTGCCTGACCCTGGCCAGCCAGCAGTGTTTACACAACAGACATCGGCCAACACCACACACCAGCTCCCCACCAGCCCGCACCCCTGCCCGGGGGATTGTTACACATTTACCAGCATGCCCGGCCTGCTCTGCCAAGGCTGTTTCCAGGCTGGACTTTCTCCCCCTAGCCTGCATGCTCAGACAACCAACTGCTACTCTGACACCATTAGCTGCTGTCTACGAGACTTCCCACGCTGAAAATCAAACGAACTTAGCTCCCAGCCTGCTCCCCATGCACATGTCCCCGTTCTCAGTAAGTGGCACCTCTAGCCTTCCCGTGCTCAGGCCGGCAAACTTCGGGCCATAATGAGTCAGCAAATCCGACAGTTCTGTAAAAACGCCCACCTCTCTCACCTCCCAGCGCCACGCTGGCCTGGCCGCCCCTGGCACCTGTCTGGGCTGCTCAGAGACCTGCTAATTGGCCTCCCGCTTCCCTCTTCCCCGGAACACAGCAGGCAGAGAGATCTTTTACAGACGGGTCAGGTCACCGTGTTCTCTGTTCAGCGGCCTGAAGGGTCTACCGTTCTGGCCTCCTAGCTGTTAGCTCTTTGATCTCTTCCCCGGCTCCCCTGCCCCCTCGAGGCTCCAGCCACTCCTGCCCCCGAGTCTCTGTCCCTGCTGGTCCCTCGGCCTCACCTGCTTCTTCCAAAGATATCCACTTGGTTCACCCCTCAGCAACTTCGATTCTCTGCTGAAATGTCACCTCAGTGAGGCTTTCTCGGCCGACTCTGTAAAACCGGAAACCTCTCGTCCCCAAGTCAACCCGTTTCACTCCTCTTCACGGTACATGTCGCTATTTAATGTGTGATTGTTACTAGAGGTCTGGTGCACAAAATTCGTGCACTGTGTGTGTGTGTGTGTGTGTTGGGGGGGAGGGTTCCCCTCAGCCTGGCCTGAGCCCTCTCGCAGTCTGGGAGCCCTCGGGGGATGTCCGACTGACAATGGGGAGCAGGCCTAAGCCGGCAGTCGGACATCCTTAGTGCTGCTGCAGAGGCGGGAGAGGCTCCCGCCCCTCACTGCTGTGCTCGCCAGCCGTGAGCCTGGCTCAGGGCTTCTGGCTGAGCGGCATTCCCTCTGTGGGAGCACACTGACCACCGGGAGCAGCTCCTGCGTTGAGCGTCTGCCCTCTGGTGGTTAGTGAGTGTCAAGCAACCGGCTGTCCCACTGTTCGGTCAATTTACATATTAGCCTTTTATTAATAGGAGGTTTGTCTGTGACCCCTCCCCTCACAAGAACATACGTGCCGGTGGGGACAGAGGTTTCCGTGGCGGCTCAATGCATGTCTCCTGATCCAAAACAGGGGCCTGGCACTCAGAGGGCGAGCCATAAACATCTGCTGAATGAACAAGTAAACCCACTGGCAGGAGACCACCGCCGCCTGTGTGTGAGCTCTCTGCCTGAGCGATGGCACTCAGGAACAAGTCTCCAGCGGTGACATCCAGCACCGTGGCACGGCACACATTAGCAGCAACTTACTACTTGTGCCAATACTATGAATAATAAAAGAGATCTTTATAGAGTATTTAATCATATGTCCGATGCTAGACTGAGAGCTGGACATGTATCACACCACAGCCTAAGAAGTACTGACTGTCCCTGTTTCTAGAATGCGGAAAGAGGAAGTCAAGGCGGGGAGAGGTGAAGTAACTTAGAAGGTCAGGCAGGTCAGAGGTGACAGGATCTAAATCCAGGCAGACTGGCTTCAGCCCTACCGCCCTCCCTCCCTCACACCTGTAAAAATGCGTGACTCCAGCCCCAAACGGCGACACGTACACGTTGTATTAGGGTGGACACAGATCCTGCTCCTCTCACAGCCAGGACACGAGTGAATTACATGGCATTTCTCCAGCATCCGCCACCCTCACAGGGAGGCAGCTCTACAGCGTGTGGTCAAGCAGCCCCGAGCACCGGGCGCTGTGGTCAGCCTCAGGCCCCTCTGCCTGGCCGTGATTCACCCTCCTCCTTCCCCCTGACGTCAGGAAAGCCTTGTGTTTCAGCCTGAGCTGCTCTGTTAAAACCAGGAAGGTGCCTCCAGTTTCTGAAGTGTGAGAACTCGGGGTTCCAGTCCCGGCTCGGCCGCACAGCAGCTGTGTGACCTGGCACATGGCTTAGCCTCCCGTGCTTCCCCTCGGAGGGGACAGCACGCCGATCGGAACAAAACAAACGGGACGTTCCCTGTGGAGAAGCTTGGCGTACAGCAAGCACCCTAGGAACGTTAGCCTCACCGTTACGCAACCCACAGCGCCACCCATAAAGGGCCTTATTGTGAAACCAGCAGCGTCAGGAGTCCAGGGACTTTTCTCGCTAGCTTCCTGGAACGGCTACCAGACAATTAACCTCTAGGCAGAAAATGCCAAGGAACAACTAAGCTAGCTCATCGACAGCTTCCTGACCTTCCTACCACACAGATGGAAAAGCAACGGGAAATGATGCTGAAATGGTTATAAGTCCCCCCCAGCCCCAGAGGGGGTTTAAAACTGGGCCTAGAGAGCAAGGAGAGTAACCTTCTAACTCCCTAGCCTAGGGGTGTCGAACTCAATCAGAGAAGGGGCCAAAATCTAAAATCCAGCCTAAATCGCGGGCCGAATGGTTTACTGAACAGTCATAAACTGTCATTGTGATGGAAACGCAGCGGAGTGCAGTGATGACAGCGCGGTGCGGGCCACATTGCAAGGCCTGGCGGGATGGATTTGGCCCGCGGGCCTTGTATTTGACACATGTGCCCTAGCCCTAGGCCAGTGGTCGGCAAACTGTGGCTCACAAGCCACCTGCGGCTCTTTGACCCTTTGAGTGTGGCTCTTCCACAAAATACCACGGCCTGGGCGAGTCTATTTTGAAGAAGTGGCGTTAGAAGAAGTTTAAGTTTAAAAAAATGTGGCTCTCAAAAGAAATTCCAATCGTTGTACTGTTGATGTTTGGCTCTGTGGACTAATGAGTGCCGACCACTGCTATAGGCTTTCGCTTTACTGCCGAGGGCCTTTTCTCCAGCTGTAAAATGGGGATCATCGCCAAAACCCCCAGAAATTCGATGGGAGGACACAGTAGTGAGAACTCTCCCCAAGAGCCTCCTGGCTTCCAACGGGGGGCAGCAAGAAGCAAAACCAGACTCCCTGCTCTGGCCGGGGGAGGGTCAGACACACCCCAGGTGCAGTCTGCCAACCAGGATGACAACGCCATCCACAGAGTGAGAATGGCAGGGCCCCAGGTGACAGCGTGCCTCTCGGCTTCTTTCCTTGCCCTTAACCGTTTCCCTTCTCAATGGCCTAAAACCATCCGATAGGAACTTAGCAGCCCTGGGTGGGTGGTCCGTTGGTTAGAGCATAATCCTGCAAAACCAAGATACACCGAGGTTGTGGGTTTGGTCCCATCAGGGCACGTGTAAGCATCAACCAATGAATGCATAATAAGTGGAACAACCTATTCATGTTCCTCTATTTCTCTCACACATCATTGTTGAAAAACAATTTTTTTAAACAGAGTAACTGAGTAAACTCCAGCGTTTGGATACAAATGACTTGCGTGTTTGCCTGGAGCGGTTACTAATGAGCAGTCCTGTGTCTCAAAGAAAGTTACACAAAAAAGCTGCCAGGAAAGTGAGTTCTGTTCAGGCCAAACACGGAGTTTTACCCCAGGTGCTCCTGAAGCTTACACACTGGGCCTCACACGCTCCAACATTCAACCAGCCGTTCACTGCTGCAGAGTCAGAGCATGGCCTGTACACGCCACGCTGCACCAGCGCTCCCTCATCGCCCCCTTTCCGGGGGTGGGGATAACGGGGGGGGGTGGGGGGGGGAGCAAGGAACCGAGGCTTATAATGTTCCCGTAAGTTCTCATTTCAGGCAAAACTTTCCAATTTGAGCGAGCCGATTTTCAGAGCTCTGGGCAGGTTTACTTCTGGAAAACTAGTCCTTGTGCATTGGAAACGCTGGTTGAAACCCGAGGGCTAATGCAAAGATGAAGCAGATCCCAGGGAAAAAGCACCGAGTTCCTCCTCCCATGAGCCGCATTCCAGGGAGCGGGGTGTGTGTGTGTGTGTGTGTGTGTGTGTGTGTGTGTGTGTATGTGTGTGTGTATATGTGTGTGTGCGCGCGCGCGCGCCCAGAACTAGCCTCGCAGGGGCCAGGCTGCCAGCTGCAGATCCGCCAGCAGACAGACCTATGCCCAGGGGCAGGGCGCGGACAAGCCATTTATTTGCAGCGAGGGTGCCAGGGGAGTCCCAGCAAGCTCTGCCCGCCAGCTTCCCAGCGGCTGCAGCAGGCGGGGGTGGCGAAGGGGACGCCCCTGCGAAAGGCCCGCGGGTTTCACAGCCGCGCGTGGCCGGCGGCCGACCCACCGACCTCGGGTTCGGCCAAAGGAGCCGCGGGGAAGCGGGGGAAGAGCTTACTGCGTCGCGAAGTAAGAAGGTCGCGAAGCGCGGGGCGCCGCGCACCCTCCTTGTCCGCGGGCCGGGCGGCCGACAGGTGTGCGTCACGGCCCCGCGCCCACCGCGCGCTCGGGTTCCGCCAGCGGAGCCGGGGCGGCGAGCCGGGAGGGCGCGCTCAGCCCCGCGGCCCCTTCCCCGCCCGGAGCGCGGAGACGCGGGCGTCCTCGGCGCGCGCGCAGGGGGTCCCCGCGTCAGGGGCGCGCGCACACAGGGCGCCCGGGTCAGGGGCGCGCGCACGCGCACTGGGACTGAGCCCGTGGCGCGCGCTGGAGGCGGAGACGCAGGCGAGGCCACGCCCCCCGGCTCGGGTCAGAGGGCGAGGGGGCGGGGCCTCCGGGACGATTTCCGGGTTCGCGTGGTGGCCGGCGCTGCACTTGGGAGCGCAGGGCTCGGCCAGGCGGCGCGTCCTCCCTGCCGTTCGCGGCGCCGGGCCCCGCTGGGGGCGGAGGGGCTGCCTCTGAGACGCAGGGGCCGCGGGGAGAGGCTGTGTCCGGGCGGGAGCCCGGGAGCCTGCTCGCTGGCTCCTCCCCGGACTCTGACACGCGCTGTGGGAACGGGGTACCTGCCCCCCTCGCCCCTGGCCTCCCTTTTCGCCATCCGGGTGGTCTGATGAGGGGCAGGGTTCTCCCATGTTCAGCATCCAGAGGCATTGATTGAGGGGTCCGAGAGCCCGCTGTTCCCATGCCTCCACCAGGCAGCTTTATTTGTGTTGATCCCCGCGTGACCTTGAAGACTGTGACCGGGGACTCAGTTTCTTCACCTGCGCCAGGGGGGCCAGTGAGAGCACCGGCCCAGGGCTCTCAGGCCGGTGACACGTGCCCAGTACAGGGCAGCCTGCCCCTGGGGGGCTTTGTTAGGGAGACAGGAAGTGGGAGGAAGACCTTGCCCTCTCTGTGGAGTGATGCGAGGGGTACAGTGAGGGAGCCTGGCCAGCTGCCTGGCCCGCCATCCAGTGAATGGTATGCGATTAACGTGACCAGACGTACCGCTTTTGGCGGGACATACCCGATTTTTAACAATTTGTCCCGTGTGCCGTGGCGTTTAAAAAAAAAATCCCGATTTATCTTTCAAAAAATCGGGACTTTTTTTTTAAATGCCACAGGACAAATTGTTAAAAATTGGGACGTCTGGTCACCTTATATATGGTCCTCTACCCGACTCCTCGCCGTTATCATGCAGTCCCTGCTCCTCGGCCCGGAGCAGCCCTGTGCCCACTTTTCTCCCAGTCCCACTGCACTATGTGTGTGCCCAGGGCGCCCCGGGCATTTCAGAGGCGGCTGCTCCTCCCTGCTTCCTCCCATCCTTGAGAGGAAAGAATGCGTGGCCATCTCACTGAAGGACGCTGAACCCCCTGAAAGAGGGGATCTGACCCGAGCGGGAAAACGGGAAGCAGCTTTTTGTTTCTTGAAGGGTCTGATGGAGGTAGCCGGTCGGGAACTGGCAGAGAGAACTTGGCAGTGGCCAGCAGGACGAAGTAGGGCCAACGGGCAGAATTGCCACACAGGATGTTGGGCAAGAGGGTTCCAGGAAAGCTGGGGAGGCGAGGGGGGCTGGGCCCCAGCGTCACCAAGCCCCAAGCCATCTGGGGGCCTGCACTGGGCTGCTGGTACTCGGCCATTCTGGGTGGGGCTTGTGCGGAGAGGGTCAAGGAGCCAGGTACCCACCGGCTGCCTCCACAGCTGGACATGGGCAGTAGGGTCTGGGCAGGGACCAGCCAAACTGGACTGGGCGATACCAGGACTCCTGGTAGGAGCCTTTCCCACGCTCTGTAACTCTGGGCGCACCATGCACCCGCACAGCCATGTAAGCCCGGGCTAAGGCAGGCACAGACGGGAGAGGCCAGGTGCCCAGACACAGGTGAGCGGAGCGGCCTTTCCCAGACCCCTCTGCAGCCATCACGAGGGTGATCGTCAGGAACCCCGAAGGCATCTTTAAAAATACCCCCAAAGCCAGTCAGTTGTAACCGGCTTATTAAGAAAATGTGTGTGCAGTTGCATGTTGTGGGGCGGGGTCTGAGGAGTGACGGCAACGAGCCTAGGATGTCATACCTGGTTTCCCGGGAGTATTTCCACCCCACACGTCACGGGGGCCTTTCCATTTCTCCGCCCTCCTCCTTCACCTTCAGTGCTTACCGCCGTCTCTCCCCGCTCAGCACCTCCTCGTCTGAGCTGGATCACTGCTTTGCTTCCTTTCCATCTGCAAGCGGTGTGGTCTCATCCAGGTGTGAGAGTATGGCCCCCAAAGCAAATATCTAAACCTGGTAGCTGGACCTAAGTCCCAGCGTCAGCACCATTTCTAACCATGCAGCAGACACACTCCAGGCCACACCATCAGCCGCCAGGTGTGCGGGGGACACTGCAGGGAGCCAGAGAGAGGGGATGTCGCCCCATCCCCCGCTGGGTCCCCGGACCTGAACTGGGCCTGTCCGGGCACCCGGGGGCTCTGTCAGCAGGTTTGTCTGTCTTCCTCAATCGCGAGGTGGGCAGACGTCAGGGTCACAGGCAGCTTCGCAGACGCAGACACGGACACGGACAGAGACCCAGGGTGATGAGTGACTCATGAGGACGTCTGTGGAGTTTCTATTTTTGGGCAGCGCTCCCTGGTCAGCCCTGCCCGTACACGCTTGGCTCTGGTGATGGTGGTGGTGGTGGTGGTGGTGGTGGGGGTAATGAACAGGTGTCATGGGTTTTTGGCCACAGAAGATCTTTCCCTCCCCAGGCGCAAGAACACCAGCACCCTGCTGTGTAAAGGATGGCTTCAAGAGTCTCCATGAATAGCTGTATGTCCGCTCAACTTGCCCCCATTTAGTGGCTTAAACAACACAAACATAGACTTTTCCAGTCCCGTCAGTCAGAAGTCCCACACGGGTCCCCATGGGCTGTGTCCCTTCCTTGAGGAGCCCTTCTCTTGCTCAGTTGGGTGCTGGCAGGATTTAGTTCCTTGTGGTTTGGGACCGAGATCCATGCTTCCTTGCTGGCTGTCAGCAGAAGGCCATTCCCAGCATCCAGCGACATCACATTCCCAGGCTTTGGCCCCGAGCCCCATCGTCAAAGCCACAACATCTGGGGGCCTGCAACAAGCTGCTGGAACTCAGCGGGATTTCAGCCATCCTGGGTGGGATGAGCTCCAGGAGCATCTGCCTGGATAGCTACACCACACTGATGTGACCGCAGTCCCTACCAGGTCCAGCAAGGCAGGCCCTGGCTGACCACTGCCTGGCAAATGATAGAGCCTCCAAAAGTGCTTGTCAGATGAATGTGATGCAAGGTGGGGAGCCAGGGCCTCCAAGGTTGGGTGCCGGATCCCCTTGGCTCTGCACTTGGCCGAGTGATTCTGGGAACTTGAGTGGCCACTGGGCCCAAGTCTGAAGGGGTGGCCCAGTGCCCTTGGGGAAAAAGAGAAATGCTGCTACTGCCTGAGCCAGATCTCAGGGTGGGAAATGCAAAATTTTGCTTTGAGGCCGCCTGGGGAGGTGTGTGTGTGTGTGTGTGTGTGTGTGTGTGTGTGTGTAGGAGAGGTGGGGCGGGGATGTCAAGCAAAGGAAAGAAGACGTGAACCAGGACAGGGGACCTTGAGTACAAAGCAAGAGGCACCTGTACTCAAGGTCAGCATTCCTTGTTTTAAGCTCCCAGAAGCAAAAGCAGGGAAAGCTCTTGGCTGGCAGATGAAACGGAAAGATAAAGCGCTGGCAGCCACCCCAGACGTCTCTGCACCAGCAGCGCTGCATTGCATCCTGTGGGCCAAGCCGAGCTCCGTGCGGCCGGGGACGGCCCAGCTGCGGAGCCGGCGGCGGGTGAGCCTGGGGTCTGGGGAAAGTGCGATGGTCAGCAGGACCTCACGAGACACAGGCGCTTCCCGTCGGCTGGGCCAGGAAGCAGGCCTGTCTGCCCTTCCCGGCCCTGGCACTGGGGCGGCCTGGCCCCCGGCCAGGAGTGTGGGAGCCTCTGGTGAGCCGGCACTCCCTAGGGGCTGCAAGGCCACAGCCTGGGACAACTCTGCACCCCCCAGCTCCTCCCATCCCTCCTCGCTCCGGTCCTGGACGTACAGGTAAGGTCCCCGCATGAATCTGTCCAGTGCTACACGCCAGGCTGTGTAGACTTGGGGGACACAGCTGTGAACAAGGTCCCTGTTCTCAAGGAGCTTATGTTTGACTCCAAGTGGGGGGGTGGGGGGTGGGGAGACGGACAACAAACAAGTAAAGAACATGGCAGAGTGGCAAGTGTGGGGAAGAGAATACAACAGGAACACGGGATGGGATGTCCGACAGCCTGGTTAAGGAAGCCCACTCCGAGCGGTGACCTTTGACTGAGAGGAGGGGGGACAGGCCGGTCCCGCAGGCCGGGGACGGTGTCCCGGGCAGAGAGAAGGGCGCATGCAAAGGCCGAGGCAGAGCCCGCCTGGCGTCTCTGAAGCACTGACAGGAAGCCGTGTGGCCGGGATCCTGGGCAAGAGGTAGGAGCCGGGCGCACCGGCTCAGAGGCCATGGAGGTTGCGGGCTTTCTTCCCACGTGTAGTGGAGGGCTCTGGAGGATATTAAATCATCGTCTTCATTTGGAAAACGTCCCTGGTTCCTGGGCCTCGGGCCTCATGGAGAGCACACAGCGGGTGGGAAGCTTTCGAAGGGTCCAGACAGGCCAGAGACACAACTCCGGGCTGATTGGAAAGGTGTGATCCTTTAGGCGTGGCAAGGCCGGCCGATCGGGAGGTGGCTGTCATTGGGAAGACGGTTGGTTACAGTCCCCAAGAGGAGGGGGCAGGCCAAGTCACCAGTACAGCCGCATGTCACAGGTCACAGGTCACCAGGGTCGGCCCGGAGGCAGAGGGAACAGGGAATGTGGACAAAAGCCTGCATTGCGGTTTCTGTGGGAACACGGGGTCAGCAGGCTCAGGCCCAGCCCCAGTGAACAGTTTCAGTGGTTTGGGGACTTAAGGGCTGCCCTGGGTGTGATCAGGGCAGGGGACAGCGGCCCTGGGTGTGAGCGCCCCCTGGAGGAGGAGGTGGGAGGTGTGGGCTTCCTATGGGTTGGTTTGTAAGGGAAATGTGCCTGCCCCAGGGAATCATTCACTATTCCTAGGAATTGGCTGTTTTTGAGGGGGGGGGGGGGGGGGGGCGGCGCCTCCTCCAGGGTCAGCCAGGACCCGGGTGCCAAATAAGCACGTGGTTAACACACAGGAGGCACCTGTGTTCCGCAGAGAGAGGCTCAAGGAAGGAAATGGACAGGGTCTGC